TGTACCCCTTCAAGCCAGTCATTTATAGTTATCTCTGGTCCTCAGTGGATGCGCCCCTGATGTCCTGAGTGCATAATAAACTGTTTAAATTCTACTCGGGCTGAAAATTTGGCTCATCTGTCTGGAACGTTACACATCTTGTTAAACAAAGCCAAGAATTTTAGCCTCCTGTCTAAAGTAAGATGCTGAAATAAAGTCAGAGTGACCCACAGCTGTCATGACCCATGAAGGCATCATTAATACTTCTGAGATCTTCATGGAGATCAACAGACTGGAAACTGGACCCATGCAGACACTGTTCTCTATTATCTGCTCATTTCTCTTTATCTCTCATCGTTCCAGCTTGTTATTCCCACTTTAAGCAGGAAAAAGTTGGGATTCCTTAGCGTTGTTGGGAAAACTGCATTTATAGAATAAAGCAGAGAGAAAAGCAGCGTGTGAGAATACAGGAGTTCTGATGAGGGATGAGGAACCGGGCCTCAGCGGGCCTGATGGTGTGACTACTGTGATGATAGAAAAGCTCATTTCTGATGGAGAACAGAAGCCGTGTTCAGGCGCCAGTCCTCAGCTAGCAGAGAGTGCGGTCCTGTGTTTGGAGGAGCTCTGAGAGGCCGTTGTGGACACGCATGTTTATGATGGCAGCATAACAAGATAACCATGCTGCTGCTGCTGCCGTGCAACACTTTATTTATTTAATAGAAAATGTTCATGGAGAGGATGGAAAAGCCACTTCTAATATTTAGACAGACCTTTTCCTGTTGATGAGTTTGTTTAGTGAAATGATGCAGCAGAAGGCCTGTAGAGATGTGGGATTTCAAAGCAACTTTAAAGGAAAACAACTGAACTAATCTCAGCAAAAGAACAAATTGGTGGCAGTAAAAGAAGGTCTGGATAGAAACTTTTCTCTCTGAAGCTTTGTGTGGTTGCATCCATCACCCTCAGCGGTGTCCAACATGGACTGGAGTCTAGAGAGGGGGTGGAGGTTAGGCCAGGGGTGAGACACAGCAGTGGAACTGTGGTATGAAGGCTGGGACACATTCCAGGGTCCCTCTGACATCACGGATGTTCCTCAACTTTTCCCCACACTGCAAAAACGATCTAGAAATAAGTGAAAAATTCCTTAAATAAGTGTATTCACCCTTTATTTAAGTAGTTAAATGAGAAAGTTTGCCAATGGAATGAGTAATTTTACTCTTAAATTAAGATAATTAGATAATATATACTTGATAATATATACTTGAAATGTATATAGAATGTCGCTTTTACCTCCTCAATTCAAGAACAAATGCACTTATTTTAAGAAAAAATGACTTATCTAGATTTAGTTTTTTTTTCAGTGAATCTGTGAAGTAAAAAATTCTTAAATTAAGTGTATTTACCCTTAATTTGAGTAGTATTTTTACTCTTAAAATAAGA